TTTTATTAATTTTTATTATGATATTTATCATTTTCTTTATATTTTGTATTTACATTTAATAATCGTTTAACATTCATGCTGGATGTTTCATTTTTTTATTGAAAATTAATAACAATCCAGCCGGCATTTGGTTTGAAAAAAAAGTGTTTTGAGCGTTCAAAAGACGTACAAAAAATATTACTTTTTTTGAAATGAGTTTACCAATAAACAATGATATGTTGGAGAATGTATTAACCTTTAATCTAATAAAAAATAATATTTATATTAAAAAAAAAAAAAAAAACATTGATAAGTTCAAAGTTGTTAGCACAACTAGTAGATCTGAGACATGATTTTCCAAAGAGTTACAGAGTTATAAGTGCCAACTGTGTAAAACTATTCTACACAATTGGTTCAATATCAACAGCCATTACCAAGCATTCAAAAACACAACACAAAAATGAAACTTTTTATGCAATGAAGTACTGAAGCTTCAAAAAAAAACAGCTTGTGCAAACTAAAAGTTTTTTCAAGTGTGACCATAAAGCTTAAAGTTTTAATACAACTAACTGCTATTGATGCAACCAGCTTTTACACTATAGTCATTGGTGAAAATTTGGTTTGTTATTCGAGGACACAGTGTAGCAGTAATATTTAAATGCTTCAATATTTTTGCAATTGAAACAGAGATAAAAAATATTTTCATTAGTATAGAGAAGCCAACACTGATGGTATAATTGATATTGTGAGAAATAACGAGACTGAATTAAATTTATTTTAACAACTCAATCTTTTTATGGAGCAATTTAACTAAACTAAAAGATAATGAATTGAAACTTGACTATTAGAAAATTGGATCAAGCCTAGTTATAGGGAAATGGTACGAAAATACTTTTTAAGCCACTAAAGTTTTGCCAAAGTTTTAGATCTATTTTTTAAAGCTCTTCAAAATATTCTTTCTACATCAGGGGGAGGAGTGGCAAAAAGAGACAGACGCATGTTCATTGGGCAAATTATTAGCCTTTATGTGAAAGTAATTATGGCGGATTTTTATTCAAAATTTCAATTTAAATTCATCAGTACCAATGTTTTTTTAATGCATTAAAAAAAACTTTTTTAATGCATAAAAAAAAACTTTTTAATGCATTAATAAAAAAAAAAAAAAAATTTAATATTTTAAAATTGAGATAAATTTTATTTATAAGTGTTTCATAACAAATTAATTATAAATAAATACTATCTATTATTTGATCCTACTTATATATCAGTTGTGTATTTCAAAAACACCGGCGTTTTATATTCCTTAACATTAAAATGATAGAATAAGAATTAACTCCTAATCATAAAGAGATAGAGTAAATAATTACGAGTTTTGTAAAATGAATTTACAAAGTAGCTAAACTTTTTCAGTTAAAAAAACTTTTTATTTTGATGAACTGTGTGTTAAGTATATGATAATTTTAAAATTACTGTGACAAACAATAAAGCTTGAAAATATGAGTTTTTGGAAGATTAGCTCATTAACCAGGTCATAAATATTGACGCACTCTACCCCCGTTTAAGCTTTGTTTTGAAAAGCTTCAAAAAGACATCAAATATTTGAAGAAAGATCAATGAGGTTTCAGCAGTTTTTTTTAAGTTAAATTTTTTCGTATATTACATTACTTTTATTGAAATGAGTTTACCAATTTAACAATGATGAGTTTGAGAATGTATCATATATATATATATATATATATATATATATATATATATATATATATATATATATATATATATATATATATATATATATATATATATATATATATATATATATATATATATATATATATATATATATATATATAATAATGTAATTCGTAAGTTCTTTTTATATATATATAAATTTTGTAACAATCTTCTTTTATCAATTTAATACATTTATTGTTCTAGAAAGTTTGAAATATTTTAATATTGTTATATTTTATGTTTTGTTATATTGTTATATTTAATTTTTGTAAATTGTTAGTTTAATAAATTTATTATAAAACTGTGAGTTAGTAACTCTTAAGTTTTTTTTTTTTTTTTTTTGTTATTAAATAGTTAAATAGAATTAAAAAAAAAAAATTTAATGATTCAATTAATCTTTTAAATTAACGTGTATTAGGCAAAAAAAAAAAAACAATATAAAATAAATAGTATAATAAATAGTAATATTATTTAATAATATAACTTAAGGAAACTACGTGTTCCAATGCAAGTAACCGGTTGCATTGATTGAAAAAAGTGTCTTTAAAAAAACGAGTTTATTTCTAATAAAAAAAGTATAGTAGAGTTGTCTATTTTTATCTATCAAATCACAAACGTTTCAATAGTTAACCTGGTTAAAAAATTATTTTTTCTCAGTTCTAACTTTAGCAACTTTGTAATTTAAAATTTTTCGTTGTTTCTTTTGTGTTCGATATTTTTATGCAGACATTTTACAATTTTCTTATGAGAATTTTGTTTCAATAAATTGAAATTACTTAGAAAATTAAATTTTGTAATAACATGCTGCAAAACACGTTCTTGAAAATTGTTTCGTAATACATCTTTACCACTTTAAATTGTTAACGTGTGTATACATACTTACACATGCGTGCTTGTATGTGTTGTTTACTTATTACTCTTTTAAAAATGTTTATCTTGTTATAACTATATAAACATGCTATAGTATGATTGATGTTTTTTGAAAAAACGTGCTAACCCAAATCCAAACTTTTTGAGAAAAGCTTAATTCAACAAGGTTTCATTGGTTGCGGGTTACCATTTTTACCACCGGATAGTACTGCAATAATGATGTCGGCTTGAAAATTTTCACTTAATACGGGAACAATTCTCAGGAAGTTAAATATGGTGTTAACCTCAAACTTTGTAATGTCCATTCAACTTTTGTAATGTCCATTCAAGGTGTTAACTTCAACTTTTGTAATGATCCAGGTTCATTATTAAAATAGTAAATAAGTATGCATATCAGTTAATCACTTAGAAGATAAAGTTTAAATTTAGTATGCGAGTAGTTTTTTTTTCTAGGTAGAATCTATCCCATGTTATCCTTGCTTTATAAGCAGAAGATCCAGGTTCGAAACGAGCTTTGGACATATTTCGCGTCACAAGACGTGAACTTTCTGGTTAAATGCACTTCCGCGGTGCTCTGTGACAAGACCGTTAGGACTTCTTGGGGCATCTAAATAACAAATTAAAAAAAAATGTACATTGCATATAAAATGCGGATAAGTACTTTTTCACGAAAATGATTTACATGTAAAAGCCTTAATTTGTTACTTTTTTATTTCTTCTAATAATAAATATTGATTATTCCAATAATCAATATTGAATATTCAAACAATCAATATTGATTATTAGAAGCAATTAAAACGATTACTGGAATAAATGTTGAGTACTATAACTTTTTCTTGCTCAAAATTGTGGAGTTGTGGTTTGATAACATTTTTCTATATAAGTTAATATGGAGTAATTCCCCCTCTTCATTATTAAAATAGTAAACAATTACGGATACCAGTTAATCCCTCAGAAGATAAAGTTTAAAAATAATATGCGAGTAGTTTTTTTTTCTAGGTAGAATCTATCCTAAGTTACCCTTTAGCATTTCAAAATGTTGATTTATTGACAATCTATAATTTAATAGAGTTGTTCAAGAAAAAATAAAAATTGATTTTTGACATTTTGACAACTCAATCATATAAAAACTTAAACTTAAGTTTTCATTACAATGACAAACGACATGAAAGTTTTAAAAATCAAGGCCAATGACAAAGAAAATCATTACAAAATAAAACTGACAGTAATTTTTTCAAATGTTGTGAAATGCAATGGTATCAACAAATAAAACTCTATATTAAGGTAGAAACACCTTAAAACAATTACATTACTTATTTATTCTATGTCATAGACAAGCAATAATTTACCCGCAAGCAAATACTATATGTGGTAAAACTTTTCCCGTATAGTATACCATATAGTATACCCCATATATGTATATGCGGTAACAATTTATGGGGTAATATATATATAGCAAATACTATATAAAGAAAAACTTTTTCTCTATATAGTATTAAAATCTTTGCTACCATGAAGCGTATTATCCCAGCCCGCATTTGGTCCCAAAAAAATGTCTTTTGAACGTTCTAAAGACGTCTTTTTAGGACCAAATGCCGGCTGGGATGTGTCTTTATAGCAGATAGCAGAATATATTTTAACTGAACTTTTTATCTTACAAATTTTTTATTTTCTAATTTTTCATTTCTTATTTTTCATTTTCTCAATTCGAGTACGTGTAAATGTAGTTTTTTAATATAAATGTTTTATCCAAAAATATTGAGAAAAGTTGTTTCGATCTGTTTTGAACCTCTATAACGTGAACCCTGAGAATAAATAAAGTCTATATGATAATAGTAATAACAATTTTCTTTAACTGTTAAGTCTATATGATTATAATAATAACAAACTTTCTTTAACTGCTTTGTCAATTTATATTTGTTCAGTGTCTTTTATCGTAATCTCTTGTCTGCGTCTGTTAGTTTAGACTGGTATTGATTTTTCATATGAATTTACTTAAGCTTCTAAAATCGAAAGTTAAATAAAAATTTTAATTTCTTATTTATAAAAAAAACCTAATCTTTAATATTTGTTTGTTGTGTTTTGATATCTTTCTTTTCTTTTTCTTTATCTTATTGTCTTATAATTATATGTTTTGCGTTCATTTAGCATTCAAACTGATAAAAATTCAATCACTTGATTTAATTTCTATCAGTTTGAATGCAGAATAGTCTCTGTATGACAATTAATGTCTTTATGTATATATGTCAGTATAATTTTATGTTGCTAAGTATTTTATTAAAACATTTTGAAAAAATTAAATAAGATCAAATTTCTTTGTGAACAAGATTACCTATTATTGGAACTGCAAGCCTTAAGATATTATAAATTCTCCGTCAACTAACAAATTAAAGAACAAACTGGATAAGTTTGACCACTGTGTAAAACAATTATCTTATTTGCTTTATCATTAGCCAATTCATGAAAGCACTTTGAAAGAATAAATCTTACCACGAAATATTTTTATTAAAAAAATATATTACGCTACGCAAAAAGCAGTTTTTATTTTAGATTTCAAAGTAACTTAAAATGTTCTTTTATTTTATTTTTCATTCAAATTATCCTGTTTTTTTATTATTTGTATGTAATTGTACAATATAATTTTAATTTTATTCTACACAATAGATTTTAACTAACATGGCTACAAATGCTGAACATAAGACAATAGCTATAAATGTTTATAAAAAGACTGTCAAAGTTAAAAGTAAAAAAGATAATGACGAGTATCCGCGTGCTGAACTGAAGGACGGAAAATATCAACTTCCGTGGAAAACTGATGCAGAGCCGCCAGATGGTTGGGCTAACTTTAAATCGTTCTTTTTTCCAGATTCTAGTGGGGTACCAAATGATGAGGTATATAACTCAAAATTAGTAGTTTTATATTTTTTAAATTTACATTACATTTCTGCAATTCAATGACGCTATCTGTAATAGTGTCTTTTTAATATTTTAAAACAGTTTAATTTTCACGTTTAATTTTTACAGTTTAATTTTTAAGCACAATCTTGAGTAAATTTTTATTTTATTTATTTTTAATACAGTTAATATTGTAACGACTTTTATAGTGTTACTATACTATTCATATTATTGACAAGTTATTTCTGTTAACATAGTTAATGCTGTACCATCAACGTTGCTACTTCTCCTAAAATTGCGCTATTTTTAACAATGTCGATTCTGTTTTTATTATTGTTATCAATTGTACTTTAGTTAACGTTATCACCGGTGTTAAAACTGTTACTTCTATTGTAAACATTTTTATCTTATTTTAAAAATAACTTTTACAATTTAATTTCATTTTTTTTAGCAGTATAATGCATTTTTTTATTATTTTCAGCAACATTTTTTATTGGTTTAAAACATTTTCCTTTGTTTAGAAGTTAAATGAAGAACCATTAATGCAACTTACAAAAGCTGATCCTCAGCAAATAGAAAACCCGCCAGAAAATGGTATTCGGGTAACATGGCTTGGTCATGCCAGTGTTTTGTTTCAATTAGACAGTGCAAATCTTTTAGTTAATCCAAATTTTAGTGCAAGGGGAATCAAGTATTATCATCCTGGGGATAATAAAAGATACCGACAACCTGTTTATAGTGTTGAACAGTTGCCACGCATCGACTGTGTATTTATTACAAACACTCATTTTGATTACTTAGACTTATCGTCAGTTCGACAGCTCAACAATCGCTTTGGTAAGATGCTTTTATGGTATGTGCCTATGGGAGTTTGTGATTGGATGAAAAAGGCTGGTTGTGTCAATGTTGTAGAAATGGATTGGTGGAAAAAGGATCAAATTGAATTTATTGATAGCGCTATTGTAAGTTACTTTTAGTTTCGAAACAGGGATGCAGTGCCAGAGTTAAAATGACTAGTTTTTGCTCTGAGGTCAATAATACTTTTATTATACTGGGGGTATTAATATTTTATACATATATTAATTTTTACGCATTTTATATTTTAATATTTATTTAGTATATTACGGGATAGACCGGGGCGATTTCGCCGCTTTTAATATTTCAAGCAAATGATGTTATTTTGGCATAACACCATATTAAGATGATGTAAAATATTTATTATTTTAAAATAATAACCTTATAACTATTGACTGATCATAGTTGCCGCCTAATTTGATTAGTTGTTGTAAATTTTAATTAAGATTTCCTGTTTAATGTTATTAATTTATATTGTGTCCCTCTTGCTTCAAGTGGCATTATTGTTAATTTTGTAAAACTGATTAAAACTACTTTTGAGAATTACTACTAAGGTGAGAGCTTCATAAATTTTTTAAAACTATTTAACTGGCATTTGTGGTATAAATTTTAAATAGGTTTTTGTCCAAATGGAATACTGTGAGGTGATTTCGCCACGCCATGATAAAATAGTTCCACAGTTAAAAAAATATATAATGTACAATATTTTTGCTTTCTAAAAAATATTTAATATATTTATTATTATATAAAAAACTTTATAAAATCATTGAACATTTATCAGGAATTATAGCAATGGTAAATTACAACGTATTAAAAAAGTAATGAAAAATTAATTAGAAATATTTTGAAGATATAAATAATCAATAGTTTTTAGATATACCTTTTTAAATAGCTTTCTAAAGTTCTCCTAAAACTTTGTATTTGAAACTGTGATTTGTTCCAATTGAATCCAAATGAAAAAAAAATTCTTATCATTAAATGCTCACCATTGCAAATTGTTACCATGGCCACTATATCGATTAGCATGTTTAAAATACACCATTATAATATCCAAGCATCAATATTTAAAAAGCTATTTATTTATTGTGCCAATCGGTAATAATTATCTTGTTGCATTTTTATATTAAGTGTCAAAATCTAAAACTCGCTGTATATTACCTATGTTTCAGATAGTAAGCAAGTATCTCCCAAAGAAAAAGAAATCCGTAGCATTTAATAATGAATTTAAGCTATGGGATTTCCCCATACGTTTTTACTTGATAAGGCAAAATATTATTTTTCTTTTTTAAGCCCTTTGCTTTTTTTGTTTCAGAACTTCTTCATTTGATATTTCATTCTTCATGACATTTTCATTCTTAAATAGCCAATTGGAGGTTGGTATTACTATAGTAATAACATCCAGTACATCAAAAGCTTATAACAGAACCAGCAAAAAACACACTGCTTTGTATTCGGTGTGGCAATAGTGGATTCATCAGAAGACTAGCTCCAATGCGTTTCTTCTCATATAAAGGCGTGTGAAGTCTGCTTTTGCATAGACATGTGCACAGAATGTGCTTAATTCGGCATAATATAATAAAGTTTTAACTCTTTTTACATTGGCGAAATCACCCCATATAAGTGTGTAATACAAATCGATGCTTATGGGTATAAGTAATTTATTTTTTGTGAATTTTTAAACGTGGTTGAACTAAATATAGTTTATTCAATATAATTCAGTTAATGGTACAAAAAAAGCGTATCAGGTTAAATAGACAACATTAAAGCAGCAAAAGTGGCGAAATCGCCCCGGTCCTATCCTTGCAAACGGTCCTATAATCGCCCCGGTCCTATATTCTATGCTTTTGTGCTTTTATACAGATTTCAAAATGGTCATGAAATTTACAGAACCCAAATATTTTAACAAGAAATATTTTTTTTCTTTAAAATTTATGACTTTGTAAAATCCTCCAATATAAAAAGAAGAATTTATTTTATAGTATTTTAAAAACCTAATAAACATTTTTTAATAAAACTTTAAACTTCTTGAAATATTTTATGGTATCAACTTTTTTATAACAATTTGAAACCATGTGAAGCAATAAAAGCAGCAGCTACTAGCAGTAGTAGTAGTAGCAGCATCAGTAGTAGTAGCAGCAGCAGCAGCAGCAGCAACAGTAGTAGTAATAATAGTTAGATATGTTTAAAATTCATTTCATTTATTTTTAAACTTTAGAACCATTAATCGTATAACAATTTAAAAATAATAACTTAATATGTAAAAGAAGTCTTAAAAATCTTGTCAAAAGTTTCCAGTTTTTGTTGTTAAAAATTTCAAAATATTTTTATCCGCATTTGAATTTCTGCAAATATTAAGTATGACGTTTGGAAAGTTATTTGAGTTACTGGATTCCAATAACTATTTAAATATTCTTAATGATTATTTTTATTACCACTTCTGTGTAAAATGGTTTTCTTTACGTAAAATAGAACTTACCCAACTTGTTTAATTATTTGTTCCTTGAATAAGAGTTTTTCAAAACCTGGAAAACGGAAGATATAATTGTGAAATTTTATAATTCTTGCATAAGAACATATATATCAACTTAAGTGCTATCAAAATACGCTTTATCGACTGCTGGGTATGTGGTAAATCAACAAAGTGCATCTTTGACAACCGAAACAGTAGGCTATATACATAATAGTCTAGTTTAGTAACAGAGTCTTTGCCAGTCTTTTGAGTAAGAGGTTGTTGTTGTGGCGGTAAGCTGGTTTTATCTTTTAGCACAGAATCAATAATATTTAGAAAAAACTTGAAAAAACTTTTGTCACCATCAATTTCTACCTTAACAAAATAGCCACGATAAACTTTAAGAATTTAAATAAAATGGTTCACAAGACTTGATAAATCATTACAGTGAGCAATAGTCCAAACTGTACCAGAATTTTCTTTTCCGCTGTGATTTTTAAGTGAAAAATTGCTGAAGTGTTAACCTGTTCTGAGAAAGTTTATGTAAAAATTTGGCTCTACCATTTTGCAGCTTGATGATTAGTTACAATTTGGACAAGTTTCTTTAACCCTTTGTTTGACATGTCCGTATTTAATTGTACATTTACAAGGGCAAGAGTAGTCATCTTCGAAGCGCTTGATGGTGGTTAGACATTAGTCTGACCTAAAACTCAAACATGCACATTTTATGTTTATAATAAACTTTAGAAAGTTTATGTAAAACTTTCAAAGTACTCGTTTTCAAAGAGATAAGAAACTTATCAAAAATGTGCTTTCTGGAATCTATCTAGTTTTATTTCCTCATATTCAAGACTTTCTTACAATATATATGTAAAAATAATTTAAGTATAAATATTATACGTGGGTAGTTTTTTAGTAGAAGCCCGTCAAGGTAACAACACATGTGCCTCTTTTTTCATGTATTTTTTGTATTGAATTGAAATCATACTAAAAAGGAAGTGTAACTTTTTTCCCCTTTTTATCCTATGCAAAGTATTTCTGCACGATACGCATTGTCCGCGTGGTACCTAAAAATCATTGATCCTTATCTCGATCTTACACAGTTTGCATACTCAATCTTCTTGCAAAGCAGTAAGTTGTCTTAATTTAAATCTTTGCTTAGTTTAACATCAATAAATGAAAAGCTGTCTTTTACAAAATTTAACCTAAATTTATGTTGAATAACAAAATCAATCTAATTAACATATTTACAAATATTAATACTTAAAAACTATAAAAATCAAGGTAATTGTTAAATTACCTTTCCTTAAAAGGAAAAGTTTTAATAAATTAATAACACTTATTACACTTAATGACAATTTAGTGTTACAAGTGTTACACTTAATTGTCATTAACTTTAGTGGCACATTCCATAAATAATTTTTATTGCTCTTCAAAGAACTATTCTCCCCTTCATAACTTCTTACTCTTTTGATAGAAATTTTTATTTTTTTTCTCTAGAATTATTTATATCGAATTTTTACAAACTTTGTTTCAAATCACCCTAATCTGGAAGAAATAATGTTCCTCGGACTCACCCCTCCAAACTTTTTAGCTGTCGGTTATCTTAGTTACCTAAATTTCTTAAGTGAGTTAACTTAGTTAACTCACTTAAGAATTTAGTGAGTTGACTAAGTTAACTCACTTTCCGCGAATTTAGGGGCCTCTAAAAATTTTAGAGGACCTTTTTTTTTCTTGTTTTTAATGTTATTTTTAGGCTCTGGCCCATAAAAAGGCCTCCTAAAACAAAAATAGTCCCGGGTCCCAAGAAGTCTTAATCCACCACTGACCATACGTAAGCAAAGTTAAACCACGCATTAAATAAAAAGCATTAATTTTGGTTTATAAAAATAAAATGGTACACGCTTCAATAAAACAATTATAAAGAAAAGCTGTTGGTATTACATATTAGAAGACTATAGTGATCGATTATAAGAGTAGTTGGTGACGCTTTAAGGCATAATGAGCAATAAAGTAACAAATATTAAACCAAAACTGCCACTAATCTTTAACCAGTTCACTAATCATATTGAAATTTTAGACAGAGTTTGGTGTGACCATAGGCTACATCCGCATAACTGTGCAAAATGATATGTAAAATTTTGCATGCCTAATTTATTAATTTCGCTAATATGGTTTGAATACACTTAAAATGAAATGTAATTTTTGAACTAAAGTTAGGAAAACATTTTATTTAAGTTTATATAATGTTTATTTTATCTTAATATACAAAGGTTTTTTCCTAAATTAGTTACTTTTTCACAAAAAATAAATAAAGCTTCAGCACGCAACTAATTGTCGTATAACATTTTCAATTATTCCTTATAGCATTTTTTACATTTCAATCTCTTCTACTTTTAAAAAAAAATACGTTAAAATTAGAGTAACGTAACGTTACGCTACGTCTCAAATTATCTCATTTATATTTATAAAACGTAACCGAGACGTTAGCTAATGTTGCAAGGAATAACTTAAAAAAATAATGCGTCGCCTAGTTGCGAAGTTTAACTTTATTTTTTCGTGACTAAGTAACCAATTAAGGAGAATCTTTCGTACATTAAAAATAAATTAAAACAAGAAAAACAACAATATGACAATGATTAAAAAATATACATTGCG